CGGGGTTTCGCTGCTGGGAGAGGAGGTGCTGCCGCTGAGGAGCCTCTCGCACTTCTCGTGCCCGCGCCATGGACTCCCGCCTCAGTCGCCGCATCCGCCCCGGCCGCGTCATTAACATTCAGCGGAGCAACGGTGAGGGGAGGGGAGGGGAGCGGGACGCGGCCTGCGGGGGGCCCGCCCGGGCGCGGGCTCGCCGGGAGTGGTTCGAGGGCAGCGCCATCAAGGGCAAGGAGGTGAGTGAGGGCCCGCTGCCCCTTCCCCAGGCCCTGGGCCTAACCCTGCTGAGGGACGGGGCAGCGAGGCGAGCAGCATTGTGGTTTAATGCCCTGTCATCGTGGAGAAGCGAGGCTTGGGGTAGGGTTTGGCAGTGCCCGAACCGGGCTCTTGGCCTTTCGAGGTGAACCAGGGGGTGCTGGGCCTCTCGTGTACGCCGTTGGCTGCTGGTACTGAATGCCCCCAGGTCCCGGTTTTCCCAGCTCTGGGGGCTGCCTGTTGGCTTTTCATGTTTTAGCGATGGCCTTCAGGCTTTCCCTTAAGACTTACTGTGCCGTGAATAAGGTCCTACGTGAAGAGGTCTGAGTTTGATCTCCAGAATTATGGAATGGTTTGGGTTGGAAGGAACCTTAGAGGTCATCTAGTTCAACCCCCATGCTGTGGGCAGGGTCACCTTCCACCAGCCCAGGCTGCTCAAAGCCCCGTCCAACCTGGCCTTGAGCACTGCCAGGGAGGGGGCACCCACAGCTTCTCTGGGCAACCTGGGCCAGGGCCTCACCACCCTCAGAGTGAAGAATTTCTTTCTTATGTCTAATCTAAATCTGCCCTCTTTTCATTTAAAGCCATTACCCCTTGTCCTGTCACCAGACACCCTTCTAAAAAGTCCTTCTCCAGCTTTCTTGTAGGCCTCTTCAGGTACTGGAAGGCTGCTATAAGGTCTCCCCGCAGCCACCTTTTCTCCAGGTTGAACAGCCCAACTCTCTCAGTCTTTCCTCATCACAGAGGTGCTCCAGCCTCCATCCTTGTGGCCTCCTCTGCCCCTGCCCCCACCGTTCTTGTGCTGGGGGCTCCAGAGCTGGACGCAGGACTCCCTGTGGGCTCTCACCAGAGCAGTGCAGAGGGGCAGAATCCCCTCCCTCACCCTGCTGGCCATGCTTCTCTTGGTGCAGCCCAGAATATGGTGGCCTTCTGGGCTGTGAGTGCACATTGCCGGGTCGTGTCCAGCTTTTCATCCACCAGTACCCCCAAGTCCTCCTAATCAGAGCTGCTCTCAATCCATTCTCCACCCAGCCTGTATTTGTGCTTGGGGTTGCCCTGACCCATGTGCAGGACCTTGCACTTGGCCTTGCTGAACTTCACGAGGTTCGCATGGGCCCACCTCTCCAGCCTGTCAAGGTCCCTCTGGATGGCATCCCTTCCCTCCAGCGTGTCAATGGCACCACACAGCCTGGAGTCATCGGCAAACTTGCTGTGGGTGCAGCAATCTCTGTGCTGGTGTAAAATAAATACTGTGTGAGATTGTAGGGGGAGGAAAGGGAGCCTGAGGCAGTTGAGGTTGATGTGGCTGAAATCCTGACATTTCACCATATCTCCTGTGGTAACTGAGCAAACACGCTTGTCCTGTCTGTTTCTCTGGAAACCTGTACTCTGGAGGTTAGTTAGTCTTAAAATTGCCATTGGCTGGTTCTTTGAAATCAGATCTGATATTGTTTGTGCACATGCTGTGTTTAAATATGCAAAATTTGCAGATTCAGATGTAATTGTTGGCTAAGTTGTGTGTGTGTCTCCTGATGCTAAAACTCTATGCAGACGATTCAAAACCCAACAAATTTTCTTATGCACTTAGTGTATATTACATTGCCTACACATATGTGTTTCTGAGCTAATGCAATTTCTGATTAGATACTTAAAGATTCTATATAAATTAAGTTTTACAGATTATTTCTCTTATGTTAGAATGTATCTCCATGTTTTACTGTTTTACAGAGGCTCACCTATTTGTTTTTGCTCTCTTTGTGGATTCTTATTTTAAGTAATTTAAAAGTTGGGAACTCAAGGACTTCCTGGAGTGGTACTTGTGTTTCTTTGTTAGGTGAATTCCAGTGCAGGCTGCTGCGATAACAGAGTTTTTGTGTACATGTGCTTTGCAACCTCTTCTGCAGGGCCAGGTTTGAAAAAACTGAACTGAGAGAGTTGCTGTCTTGTGCCTGAGCCTGCTTTTGGCTGCCTGCTCCCATCGCTCCCCATGCCCTGTGGCTGCCTGTGCCAGAGCACCGCAGCACATGTGGAAGGCAGGATTATGAATTCACTGGAGGGTCAGGCAGGAGGGGGTGGCTGGCCCTAGGTGAAATTGCTTGCAATAGCAAGTGAAAACGTAGGTGAATTGGCTTGTGGATTAAATGCTGAATCCTTCATTTCCCAAAGTCTAAGCAGCTCTTTGAAATTTATTTCAGTACCTGCAGTCACACAGTAAACACTTGATGCTCTCCCAGCACAGAAGTCACAGAGCGTTGGTGATTTACTAAGATTAGCAGAAGGAGATTAAAGCAGTTGATGCCAAATGCGCTTTGCCCATCTCTTCAGAAGTGCTCTATGGCACCTGCAGAGCTGTGTGGTGTTTGGCAGATGATGGTAAATAACTTAACTAGGGCATTTCTTCTAGCATATTTGGACATATGAGACTACTTAAACAGAATGAACTACTGTCTTGCCCTTCCAGGCGACTTTAACATTTGGCAGGCAGTGGGTCATGTTTGTTCGCCTGTACTGAAAGTCAAGGGGAAAAAAAAAAAAAAAAAAATAAAGCTGTGTGTGGTAGCAGCAATATTCTACTTTGTAAAATCCTAACTTTGCTCTTGTAGATTGATATTGATGAGGTGGTAATGATAAATCCTGAGTTATCAGAAGAACTACCTGCTGCAGACGTGAAAGAGAACCTTCCTTTGCAAGAGAATGTAACTGTACCAGTAAGTGCTTTAAAGTGATTTAGTCTCTCCTAAGGTACTAAAGTGTCAATGGCATAGGTCTTGTTATAAATAATACCCTCAGTCTTAAAAGTTTGAGGTCTCTAAACTTGTCATTTCTGCCTCATAGTTAGACTTTGGTCAGAAATTCTTGTTGTATCAATGTTTTCGTGAAGTGCTGTGCTAGGTGTTTGCAGCTTATGCTAATTACTTACAGCAGTCATTGTTTTTCAGAAACAGAAGCGTAGAACAACCCTTTCAAAAATTCCTGCTCCACGGGAAGGTGAGAAAATGTTCTTTTCTCTGCTATATCCCTGTGAAACAGTGGTGGTCTTCCATTGCAGCCAGAATATGCTGAGTGCACCATAAGGCTGCTCATTCATGCAATGCCAGTAAAGAGCATCCTGTTTCATACCAACATTTTGGACTCCCGAGTGCAGAAACTTTGACTGATTGCTGTCCTGTTCCTGTGAGCTGGGGTTTGTTGATGTGTTGCCCTTTTCTGCAGCATTGCTGTAGTTATTCTGTGATACTGCTTTAAATGTCACTAGGCAGTTACTGTTGCAGTGAGTTTTAAAGTTTTGTATGGAGTTTTGCAAATGCCACAAACAACAAAAGGTAAATGACAGTTAAGAGTGTCAAAATGAGAGTGGAAATGGCAAGAAAGAAATAGTGGTGATAAACGGATGTCTCCTCTTCAAACTGTCCCCCTAGACAATAACTAGAGCTTTACCCTTGGAGACGTTTCAGAGCAGGCAGCCGAAGTGCCAGCTGGTGTGCCGCAGCTCAGTGATTGTGCGTCAGTGCAATGTTTTGAGCAAAGCTAGAAGAGAAGATAGAGATGTCAGTGTGGGATTGCCAAGGAATTGTTTTTCCTGTGGTGTCAGGAGTTAGAAAACTCACACACTTTCTACCTTCTTTAGCTTATTTGTTGACTCTTTTGGCTTTTTGAATTGCAAGTGGCAGCGTTACAGGTCTATTTGTAATACACTTGCGTGATGCTGAGGTTGAATGATTGCTAATTTAATGATTCTCTTAATGTGTATAATTAGCCAGAACTTGTGCTTTTCCATGCAATTGAGCTGTAAACAAAATAGCTGGGCTTGTCTGGCCTCTTTTGTTGCATGTGATGCAAGACAGGGAAGTTGGTACCAGAAGACAACAGTACAAATCCCCTTGATTTGGGGAGGTGGGAGGAGTCCAAGAAGCTTAATGTGTCAAAAGGTGTTCTGTGCTAGAGCATCCTGATCTTCCTCAAATCCAGAGAACTCCCCATAAATTTTGTGAAATGGCAAGCAAAATGATGTGGTAAAGTCATGACTGTCTCTAGACAGGTCAGTTAATGGAGGTGGATAGCCAGCTGGAAAAACAAAGGTGTTTTAATCCAGTCACTGGTTGATGGAAAAATGTTCTCACAGAGGTCATGGCTTTCCTGAAGTATAGAATCTAATGGCAAATCTGAAGTATCTGTTGCCTTTCCTGCCGGCACAGTCTTGTCCTTGAAGACCTACTCAGAGTACAACAGAGAAGCAGTGTTTTCAGTATTCCTCAAATATTATCTGTTATCATAGCTAGCTAAACCCCATGAGTGTCAGTCCCGTTGCAAACTCTGTACTGCACCAGTTAGAAAGCTAATGTTGGCTTCAGGTTTTGGTTCTTAGACTGAACAAATTAAAGAAGATCAGGAGGTGTCTGCCTCCATCTCATTCTGCATAGTGAGAGAAGCAGAAGCAGTGCTTTCAGAATGAAGTAAGAATTTTGGCAGTGCTGAATATCCTCATGTAGAAGAATCAGTTGAATCAAATCCATTTAGATGCAGCAAATCCTCCAGCCAGTATGCCTGTCCCGGAGCACTGTCACTTACAGAAAAAGTGCTGCTGAGTTTGTGATGAGAACGGGTCTGGGCATGTCTACAAAAGAAGATGGAATAGAATGACATCTGAGTGTAATGAAATTGATGTTTTTTGTTCCTAAAGTTGCAGCAGTGACACCTAATGTCTCTGCACCTGAGCAGAAGATTCCTGGTAAAGAGGTAATAGCTACAAGCAATCAATTTCTGGGTGCAGTTGTAAGGCATTTGATCCAGAACTGAAATTGGGCTGAAACAAATCTAATGCCTTTTAAAAACATAGTGGTTGATTCTGGATGAATTCTTGTGATTGCAAGAGGTGAAGTTAGTTCTAGCTTTCATACCACACTTTTTTTTGTTTGTTTTGTTTCAGTTTTACTTTCTTTACAAATCTGTTGAGGTTCGTGTTCCAATCCCTTCCCCAGGCAGCTTTGTGAGGCACTTGGACGCAGTAAAAGACACATACCTTGGCATGTGACAATGGAGACTGCCCACAGAAGGACCCTTTCCAAAGATTTGCTGTTGTGGTTATATAGAGTCTTTTTGCTGAATTTAGTGTTATGGAGCTCTTGCTCCACTGTGCACCACACACACTGTGCGTGAGCGCTGTGACCGTGGGCATGATGCTGCCCACAACCTGTTGCCGGATTGCGGTGCTACTGTCACCATCAAACAGTTAATTCACACAGCCCTGCAAGTGTGAAGCTTCAGAGGATTTCCCAGTTCCCTGGCTTGTAACTGCCTCCTTCCTAGGTAGTAAGGTTCTGGAACTGCCATATTACTGAGTCCTTAGTGGTATCTGAAATAAATTCACTCGAACCGCAAAGCTGGAGTGAACTGTTTCCTTTTCTGTAGTGGTATATTTCATGATCGCTTTTCGCCCACCTGCATTTCTTTGTCCTGCACTTTGCTAATGCATCAGAGATCTGGAAATGGTCCTTTTAAAGACACCTTGTTCCCCACTGTTCTGCACTTTGTGAGCACTTGATTACATGCAAATGTCTGAGGCATGATGCTGACCTTGAATTCATGTTTCCAAAGCTGTTCGTGGCCGCTCCAGGATGTCTGTTATCACAGAATCTCAGTGCAGCCTCCAGGAAAACAAGATGGGGGTGGATCCCTGCACTTCTACACAAACCAGAAACAATTTGTCAGTTCCTGGTGAGTAGAGAAAGAACCCAGTCAATTCTTACTATGAAGCAAGATGCTTGGTATGCATTTAATTAGGTAAACGGCAAATCCCAGGGTGGAGGAGCAGCCTCTACCCTCATATAGAAAATGAGAGACTTAGAGGTCTGCCACTATGTAAATATCCAGGGCTCCTACCTGAAGGGGTTCTCAAAGGACTTTGGAAACAATAGTGTTGAATAATGTGCTTTACTAGCCAGAGTGCTGCAGTTGTGCATGTGGGTGGATGTGGTATCTGCTTAACAGCATAAAGTGGTATTCAGAGGGCTAGACTGGGAAGAGAAGTACCTTAACACTGCTGACAATGTGCTCTGTAACTAGACTGGTAGTAGTTTTACCTATACTGGTTGAGTAAAACAAGAACTTGAGCCTATTTGAATTTTGAAATTGTAGTTATTTATCTTTACCCAGACCTATACCCTATAAATAGTTGAGGGCATGCCTTGTGTATTAAGTTCTGCAAAGACATTGTAATAAGAGGCTTGATAAGAAATTCTTGTCTAGTTGGTGTGGCCTTGATTCGTAGCTTTGAATAAAAGTTGGTGATCAGCAAAGCATTAAGAATAATTATTTGCACACTTACTACAGGTTTTAGCTAGTTCTCTCTCCTGGTCCAGAAGCAGAGTTGGGGAATGCCTGTGGTCTGTGAGGCTTTACAAATTACAAAATTATTCTTGGCCTTTGAGATTTAGTTATTGGTTTTGGTCTGGCTTCTTTCTGCAGCTGGCCAAACCAGAACCGGCAGGCTAAGCTGTGCTCCAGAAGCGTCCCTGACAAATGTAAATGGAAACACAGAGGATCATCTGCCTGCTGCTAGAGTGAGCTCTTCAATGAGCCCAGGTACCAGGGAGCAGTGGGTAAGAACTGACTCGCCAGTCAGCAATGCATCACCGTGTGTTTGCTGCTTTGTATGCTCCGAAACTAAAGCTTTGAAAAGGTGACTTTGGCAGTGAGATTGAATATCTTCAGTATTTTTGTTGCAAATGTGTAATTCTGTTATAGTGGTATCTCCTCAGAAATGCTGCCTTTACTTCAGAGTGGTAGTGAGGCTTGCTAGGCAGTTTCTGTGGTAGGTAGAGCTGGTTTGGGAAGGAAGTGCTGCAAAACTAATGACCATCCTTCTGAAGATGATTGCTTCCTGTGCAAGTTGGTCTGTCAGCAACCTGGAAAAGCTGAAATATTTGTATTGTGCTTAAAACCTAGTATGAAAATTTAATCCAAGGAAATGTTTCTATTTTATCTAGTTCGGAGAAGATCTAACATTGTGAAAGAGATGGAGAAAATGAAGAACAAGAGAGAAGAAAAAAGAGCTCAAATTAGTGAAATCAGGACCAAACGTGCACAGGTGGAGTACTCTACAATGCACCAGTAAAGGGAAATTCTGCAGGATAGTGTATTGCAATAGCTGAAACAAAAACATTTTGGACAGGCGTCGTTCTTAAAGCTGTACATAAGGATGGACTGACTTTAGTTTCAGAAGGTTCTGCTTTTAAGTGAAATATTTCTGATTATGTACAGCTAATTGTTCAGTATGCTCTGGGGCTTTTCTTGCTGTAACAGGGTAGTTAACTTAACAACCATGTTTTTTTTTCATGCAGGAATTTGACAGCAGCTGTCCAAATTGGGAGTTTGCAAAGATGATCAAGGAATTCAGAGCAACTTTAGACTGCCAGCCAATATCTATAACTGACCCAGTAAGTAAATACTGAGGCTACTAACTGCAGCCTGTAGACAGACTTCTTTATTTTCTACTGAAGATTTTAGCATGTCAGCAATTTAGTGCATCACTGCACCTTGGAAATCCTCTGAGCATATTGTTGTCTTGAGGCACCTGGCGGTATATGTGAGGTCACTTACCTCCCCTGTTTAGGACTAAGCTGCCTTGCATTACTTTGCGTATGTCACTAGCAAAGAGCTTGCAGTTTGACAATTACTATGCAATGATTCATGTGGTAACATCAGTATTTCTCAGAGTTTGTAAATGGCAGAGCCTATTACGTAGTAGTGTGGCTTGTGAGTATAAGTTAAAACAGACTCTTGCCCTGTAACAGAAAGTGTTACTATATGTAAGTCATATATTAAGTAATTTTAAACTACGTCAAGAAGTGAAGGAACAAAGTAGAGGTCATAGAAAAACTAGGCCTGGTTGAGATCTTCAGCAATTATGGAGGAGGCATTGGTTAATACCTAAGAACAGGTAGTCCTTGTCTAGCAAAAGCCTTCTAAAGGTCAGTGAAAAATAACAGCATTTAAATTTAAACTAGGAACTAGGTTAGAACACAAGGTGGTTTGTCTGCCTGCATCCTATGGGGCTGAGAACCAGCTGTTTGTGTACATATCGCTGTGTGACTGAAGAAGAGTTTGTTGTCATCTTGCTTTTTGCCTCACCCAATGCAGTATGTGCTTTCCCAAACTCAACTGATGTGTACCTATGCTGCACAAATAGCTAATCTTGCTGCATCAGCCAAGAATTCCAGGTCAAAAAATACTTCTGGGGTAAATTATTATAATAATTTACCTGAACTTGACCATAGTGGCAGTATTGATATCATGGATTTTGCTGGAAAGCTGGCCAAGGACTGAACTTTTTAGTAATTCTGATACCAAATATTTGTGGCATTTTCTATAGAATAGCAGCATTTCCACCTGATGTGTTGGAGCATGCTATGTAAAGGTCAATTGCTTGCGGTGTTTCTTTTGCACTGAATGCACTTTTAAGACTTGCATCCCTGCATGAGTGGGTCTGACTGGTAGCAGAGGCAACTCTGATCAGTACATAGGAAAGTAGGTGTGAGGGAGCATTGGATCTTTCTCTGTAATACCAAGTAGGTGTGAGTGTAATTGAGAAATAATTATTACTTGTGTTCTTTTCTTTTAGATAGAAGAACATAGGATTTGTGTCTGTGTGAGGAAGCGCCCTCTCAATAAACAAGGTGAGTGTACTGACAAAGCAGCTCTGTCTTGGAGCAGTTTGACATTGCTTATTCTTGTTAAAACTGAGGGTCTCTTCTCTCACCAGAACTTCTAAAAAAGGAATGTGATGTGATTACTGTTCCAAGCAAGTGTGTCCTGCTGGTGCATGAGCCAAAGCAGAAAGTGGACCTAACAAAATACCTTGAAACCCAAGCGTTTAGATTTGACTTCTCATTTGATGAATTCTCTTCGAATGAGATGGTGTACAGGTAATGCTTTCTTCTCACTGGGAACGACTTCCAAGATAAAAGCATGGAGCTATGGCTAGATAGCATTCTGGCTTAAAGAAACTGCTACCTGAAACAAATATTAAAATCCTTTTTGGAGGAAACCAAGGGACTCAAAAGTCTAAAGATTTTTTTTTTTTGGCATAGCCTTGCTGATTTCTTAAGGATTTTCTTTTATTTGCTTTTTTAGGAAAACTGGTGAAACAGGGTGTGAAATGCTTGCCTTAACTGTCTTTTACCTTCTGAATATCCAGGTTCACTGCTAGACCTCTTGTAGAGACCATCTTTGAGGGCGGGAAGGCGACATGCTTTGCGTATGGCCAGACAGGCAGTGGCAAGACACATGTAAGTCTTTCTCTGAGATCTCAAATTTTCTAGCTTTTATCTAAAGTATTTTAAAGCTCCTTGATATTGAGTAGGATTGTATAAGGAGTTTGGATCTTGGGTTTATTGCCTTAAAGCTAATACTTTATCAGTTGTTACTCCTCTTTTTCTGTAGTTTTAAGTATTCCTTTGAGGTTGTGATGAAAATCATACTAAAATAACACCGTAGCTGGCTTTTTAAAGACTTAGGATGTCCTGACATGTTACTGTTCATCAACAACTGTGTTGTCTTTTTAACTTTCTTTTTCTGGAAACAAGAGCGAAGGAAAGTTGGGAAACGCTTTCCTCACAGCATGATAGCAGAGTCCAGTCTGCTGTCTTGTTCTGCAAGAAGGCTTTTTCTCAAACCACAGTGATCTGGACTGGACTAGGTTAGCCTGGCAGTTTGAGTAATTGGACAGCTGCCATCACTCCAGTGTTAGAGGCAAGTTTTAGGCTAGGATTTCCTATCATTAGTGCTATGCAGTGAGCTGTAGATCTCTTCAAGTAATCCAGAAGGAAATTTGGAAGCCTATAGAAGTTTGGATACAGGCTGCCTCCATTGCACTGGGATGGGCAGACAAACCTGCTCATCTGAGCATCATTACAGGAATACAACTGTGAGGCACTAAAATCAGACCATGAAGTTACTTTTGCTTCCTCATCCCAGGGCGCAGAAGTAGTGCAAGGACAATAGCTGTACGTTGAGTCTGGAGTGCTGCCTGTTAAACTCTGGTGGACTGAGAATGTGTCATGGGATTGAGTTGTGTTTTAAAGAATTGACTCTGTTTCATATAGAAGTGGTAGAGCAAGTCACCAGGATAGCATCAACTGAAAATTTTGTTGGGATTAAAGGCATCTTGGTCAAAGGAGTTAAAGGTATTGTCTGCTCTAGAAGTTTGATACATTTTGATATCACATGTGAGCTTTTGAAAGTAGCGGTGAAAGTGTTACTCAACCTACATCCTAAAAAATGAGGCTTTATTTCTTCTGACCAGAGGCTACTTGGTTGCATGTCAAGGCCTTGCATTTCCCCTTGGAGGACAACTGCTTTGCCTCTGCACTGCCGGGCCTCACAGGCATTCAGCTGTTGCTTTCAATAGTCCAGATCTTTCTGAACTGATAGAGAAGCAGCAAACTAATTTTATCCTGAATTGCACTGTGTTCTAATAATCTCACTGACATTGGAGCATATATATGGTAACTTCCTAATATGTTCTTGGGACCAAAATCGGGTAGCCTGACTTGTCTGTATCACACCTTGCTTCTGGCCTTTTCTCTTCACAGACTATGGGTGGAGACTTCTCTGGGAGAGCACAAAATGCCTCAAAGGGCATATATGCTTTTGCATGTAAGTTGATCCTTCTTTGGATACAAAAATCAAATAAGTGCTTGCTTTCTTAAATAGATAAGATCTGGTTTTGTATTGTTATTTAAATTGTTTCCAGTAAAAGATACATTAATTATTTGTGTTTTCAGTAATAAATAGTGGTGTTTGTTGGAGGAGGTGTGATTATTTTTTATCAGTTTCACAAAATACTTTCCGTCCAGCATGTAAGTTTCTGGATCCACACTTCACTCACCAGAAGATATTTGGTTTTGAGGCAAAGAGATTACGTATTTTCTAGTTTGGCCTTTGCTGAGCTGAACCATTTAATTTTCATTCTTCTGCTTTGGTTTTGTCTCAGACTAAGGATGGTGTTTGGAAATACCTGACTTGAATGCAAGACAACCCTACCCATTTCTGATATAAAGCTTGTTATACAGAAAGCATATGAACGTATGTGTTGTGTTTCTTCCTGTAAGCATTAGATGCAAAAAACCCTAGCACATACAAAATGATTTCAGAAAACAGATGCTTAGAAGCCCCTCCTTGATATAATTTTTAGAAAGCACCGTGAACCCTGACCTCTTCTACCTTCCGTTTAGAAAGGCATATTGTGAAACCAGTCTGTGTAGCAAGGCAGCTGAACCAACAGCAACTGTTTGCTAGACTCTGAAAATTAGTCATGACTGGCCCTGAAGGAAAGCCCTTGCTTTTCAGCTCGATTTCAAAGTCTGAAGCCTAACTGTGAAAAGCTGCACTGGATCCAGCCAAAGGGTCTACTAATCTGGTATATTGTCTCAAAACAGCAGCAATGCAGTTGCTCAGGGATGCATGTTTTCTACGCTTTCTGCAAGAAGCATTCGAAACACAAATACATGACTTTCTCAGGCCTGTCCAAAACGATAGCAGATGCCAGTGTTCCCCCAGATCAGTAAGGATTGCTTGTCTGTGGGTGACACTAGCAGCAGAAACTTCTGTATCCCCCTGTGTTTTCAGTCCCTGGATGAGGATGCTGCTGAAACTGTTCTCTAGATGGTAGCACAGCACTAATTGTTCCACTAGCATTTGTTTAGGATGACTGTCGTTCAGCTGCTAGACACTGCCTTATGGCTGCACAATATTTGAAAGCAGATCAGGTAGCAACTAGAACGTGTTCTAAACTAGCTACTCCTGCCTTTCCTCGCTAGCACAAGATGTCTTCCTCCTCCTCAACCAGCCCAGGTACAGAAATCAGAACCTGGAAGTCTATGTGACTTTCTTTGAAATATACAATGGAAAGGTAAGACTTCTTTAATAATTTTCACCCGACTTCTTCAGCTGAATGTTTCATAAGTAGCTGTGTGAAACTTCGTTGTTTCTATAGTTCTATATAGTCTATTGCTCTTGGTGTGTTTGGGATTGAACTGAATTGACAGGCTATGTTAATGATGCCATTTAGATACAGCTTTCTATGAAGACAGCGCAAAATACTTATAAAGGAGAATTTGTTCAGATTTGCCTCAATCTTGTTGCCTGATTATAGGTGTTTGATCTCTTGAATAAGAAGTCAAAGCTTCGAGTCCTGGAGGATGGCAAGCAGCAGGTCCAGGTCGTTGGCCTCCAAGAGAGACAGGTTGGCTGTGCTGAAGATGTCATCAGGATGATCGAGATGGGCAGTGCCTGCAGGTTTGGTGGCTTAAAACCAATGTTCTGTTGTACCTCCATGTCTGCAAAAAATATATAATGTCTGTAGCTGGTGCTTTGAGACTTAGACTGGAGCTTGTTTTTCCCAGTAACAGGCAGGCACTGAGCAGCACCTCTGCCTGAAAACAAAAAGATCGTTATAGAATAAAGGGTTAACAGGGATAGGTTTATCCTGCTTAAGGTTAGAGAGAAAAGGTCAGAGTTCATGGTTCACATGTGCTCATGTAACTCCAAGAAGAGAGAAATTATTCTCATGAGGAGGTGGCTGCCCTGGTGCCACAGCTAACCTGAGCTGTCTAGCTGCTTTCTAGAAGTATCAGCTAGTTTATAGGAGGACAAGGAGCTCCCTGTGGGCTTGTAAGATCAAGCAAGAGCAGCTGGCATCAACCTACAGCTGAAAAAATGCTTTGGCTTAACTGCATTCCAGATAAGCTCTTCCAATGGCAACAAAAGTGCTGCATGTTGTTCAGGGATCTTGCCTAAGGAATCCTTGAGAGCAGGTGCCAAGGGACAGCCGTAGGCTTGGCTCACCATCCTGGCAGGAAGGCTGCGGTCAGGGCAACTCTACTATTGTACTGGTGTCTTTAATCAGGAGCTAAAATCTGTATTACTAAGTCTTATCTGTCTCAGTTAAGTTGCAACTGCTGTGAAAATATTAATAGGCAAATGAGAACTCCTTGGCTTCTGTATTACGCTGTATGCGCAGATATGTGCATCCAGCACTCTATGTATGCTTTTTTGGCTGACAATTCAGCCAAGAACTGTTTCAGACTCCTGCCTCACGTTAGGACATCTTTCCTCCGTTTCCCCAAGCAGTAGACGCAGGTGGGACAGTGAACCTGGCAGCCTTCTCAGAGAACGATAGTGAAGGTCACAGGGTGGTTTATGGTAACTTGTAAGGCTCCAGTCTGTGTCTTGCAGTGATGGGGCAGGTGCAGGTGCAGTTGCACAGCAGAGCCACCTTGGCTGGAAAAGGAGATTTACCATGACTGTAACGTGCTAGCACAGCTAATGCTGTTTAGCGGAGAGCTTGGCTGAGCTCACTGTGTAACGGCAGATGCATCAGGAAAATGGCACGTGGCCTGCTCTGAGGCAGGGAGAAGCGGTGCTGAAGGTATGTCTTCCAGCTCCAAATGCATGTATGGCATAGCAGTCAGAAAGGCATTCTAGTGTAGGCTGGCAGAGTTGAGCCAGGCAGATTAAACAGCCTTAAATCTCTGTGCTCTTACATCAGAGGCAATTCCATAATTCATGCAAACTTGAGGTATTAATGTGTGGGATAAAACTGAGGAGGTTAAACAACTTAGTTGAATGGCTGCAGGTCTTGTCCAGTGCTGTCGGCACCTGTTGTGTCTTCTGTGACAGTTCTAATGCTTGTTTGCATTTTCGTAGGACATCTGGGCAGACTTTTGCAAATGCTAGCTCTTCACGGTCACATGCTTGCTTCCAAATCATACTGCGCCGAAGAGGGAAACTGCTTGGCAAATTTTCCTTGGTGGATCTGGCAGGAAACGAGAGGGGTGCAGACACATCTAGTGCTGATCGCCAGACACGAATGGAAGGTGCAGAAATCAATAAGAGCTTGCTGGCATTGAAGGTGAGCTATAGCACTAGCAGCAAATAGTGCTAATCAACATGTGGATTCTGTTCAACTCTGGGGTTGTCTGTTCTGTTTCTTTCCAGTGCAAGGGAAAAGAACAGCCAAAAATATCTTAGTTTAGTATGTTAACAATGCTGTAAATGGTGTATACTTCCATTTAGAATGTTTCTAGGAAAGCAGTGCAGTCTTGTCAGGCCAGATGCTGGTACAGGCATTTCAAGCTTCATTCGTCTTTTTTTTTTTTTTACATATGATGGATACACCAGCTGTCCTTTGACAGTCAAATACCTGGAGTGTATTTAAAAGGCAGTGAAGTACTTACAGAGCAGTAGAGGACCATTCTCCAGCGTGTTGGATTTACCAGCAATTGTGGTTGACAGCTTGCAGAGCTGTTTGAGAAGAGATGTAGATACTGCATTCACAAGACTTGTCTCTTCTTAGGAATGTATCCGAGCTTTAGGGCAGAACAAATCTCATACCCCTTTCCGGGAGAGCAAGCTGACCCAGGTGCTAAGAGACTCTTTCATCGGAACAAACTCAAGGACCTGCATGGTGAGTATGTGCATGGCACAAACACGCTGCATATGGGCTCTGCAATTTGACCAAATAGCTGCATGCTCCTCTTCGGGAGTGAGGGGACTTCGAAGTCAGAAAGCTTCAGTTCTTCGCAAAAAAAGTCATACAGTTTTCCTCCTCCACTTGCCCGTGGTGACCGAGATCAACAATTGGTGAGCTCTGCCCAGGGCTGCAGGAAGTCACTTTCATACAGTGAATCTACAGTAGAGCCCAGTGTGCTCTCAAAGGGCTTTGCTCCCTGTGGAGGGTGCAGCACAGTGGGTGCGCACACAGCCAGTGGAAGGCTGGACTCAGGGCTACTGGCATGTCCCACAGAAGCTATAAAGAAAGAGGGGGTTGACAGAATGTCTCAGCTCTGACCCTTGTCCCTAATGTGTCCCAGCTGCCTGGTGAGATCTGTAGGGCTATTAACATGAGCAAAAGTCAGATATGGGAGTCACTGAGGTCTTCTGTTCTGTTTGCAGATAGCAATGATTTCTCCAGGCATGAGTTCGTGTGAGTACACCTTAAACACACTGAGATACGCTGACAGGTAATGGCCTTTCTGACCTGAGCATTCTACTCTTGTTGCAGAAAGTGTTTTGGCTGCTTTTATTCTGACCAAAAGTTTCTCTTGTCACTGCCTGTAATGGCAATTTGGAGGTTTCTTGTTAGGAGCAAATTATCTTAGAGCTGTCTTATGAAACTAACCTGGGTGTTCTCTGGGTGAAACATAATAGAGCTTGTATGAAACCGTGACTAATGTCTCCTTTCCTCAGAGGAGGAGTCTCGTGCTAGACTTCAGACTGCCCTGTTTCTTGTAGTGAGTTAACCCTGTCCTGAATAGTTAACTCATGCCTGTTAGAACTTGTAATACTTTGGATCCCATCTGTAAGTGGTGTGCTAAGCATATGTCCCTGACACAGCCCTACAGATGACACACAACATTTGGTGTTCTTGATGGACTTTGATATGAACTAATAGGGTATGGCATCTTTGATACTTTGGGCAAAATCTGATGGACCTGGAGATCTCAAATGCCTTGGAGCAGATGGTGGGAGTGTGTGTTTCGAGTGCCCCGTGGTTGACCTTGGGTACCTGCAGGGCAGGGTAGATTTGCAGGGACTGAGCCCCAGGTTTCCCTGAGGGTCTTGCTGATACCTGGAACCCCCGGTCTCTGCCCTATGTGCCTCTACACCTCTCTAGTGAGGTGACAAGCAAAAAGGAGACTGTGACTTTTGTCATGTGTTAACAAGATGACACTTGCACGTTTCAGGCTTGGTAGCTTTCCTTCATTTAGTTCACAATAGGTTCCTTCGTGGAAAGCATTCCACTCTCTGAAAGGATGTTTGGTAATTCTTGCCATAAGCATCAGGAACATTGTGAATCCTGACAGATTCCCAGATTTGGTTCCGGACTGAAGTTGTATTTTCTTCTTCTGGTGGACAGTCATTCCTGCTCACCTGAAATCACAGGACAAAATGCAGCGTCTGACTTTGGACTAGAATCTTACTGAAACACAATGAGTTGGGCCCATTGGGTTCTTAGCCAATGCACAAGGCAAGCTCAAGCCATAAGAAAGAGGGCTGAAACTCCTGGGAAATGTGAAGCTGACACTAGTTACTGGAATGAAATGTCCAGCTGGTATGACATCTACCTCTAGTACCATGTCAACAGCCGTGGCTTTTATCCTTATTATAGACCTACTCTAGCACAGGAGATCTCTGGGAAAAATCAACCTTTTTCCTTTTTTTCTATACTGACTCATGACAGTCCAAGCAACATGTGGAAGACAGCTTCTGTCAAAGGTGTTGCTGGCAATTAGCGTTGTGTGCTTGGACATCTCCCTCCAGGAGAGGTCCTAGATTGGGCATGGAGACAAACATCTCTCAGCTTTCCTTCCCACAGCCTCTGCGGTTTCTGCCCATGTGAGCTTGTTCTGGGGGTGGTAATGTGCAACTTTTCAAGTGCTACCAAATGTTTCTTGCTGAGCACTGACTGATTGCAGTAGCTGCTTTTGTGATGCTGTGGCCCAGAAACTGCTGCAAGAAGAGTTTGAGTGACAGATCTTCTTGTTGCAGAGTGAAAGAGCTCAGCCCTCATAATGGAGGTGGTGAAACACAGAATCAGATGGAGACTGAGGAAATGGAGACCAGCGGAGAAGGCTCAGGTCACAACGTATGTGTGTGCAGTGGGCTGAACAGATCTCAAAGCTGGGAACAACTTGCTGTTCTCACTTAGGCTGTTTCTTGCAGCTCTCCAAGGATGAGGAAGAAGATATCTCTCCCCACATGTTTAACTTTCGTGAGGCTATGACTCAAATTAGTGAATGGGAGGAGAAGGTTGTAGAACAGCTTAGAGAACTACGACAGGTATGTGGAAGAGGCAAGCCCAGCCCAGGATGCCTTCTGCATGTTGCTAGCACCTTGCCTTGTCTGAATCAAGTCCTGCTGGGTAGGCTGTGATGCAAGATGCTGTACAGTGGTGTTCTTTTCTCCTCACTGCCAACTCTTCCCTGTAGTTTCCTGCCCAGCTGGTGAAACTGGGGCATTTCAGTGCTTGTGGCCACCTGGTCCCCCTTCCCCTCCAACTAGCAACCTCTGCTTGCTGCTGATGAGCACTGGCTGGTGCTGGTCTATAGAAGCTCAAGCTCTGATTGGTGTTCCAGATCTGAAGAAACTAATTGAACGTCCAGAAAGTCAATTTCTCACTTCTGTTATCCTTGTAAACAGACAATGATGACTGAACTTGGCTACCTCTTGGGAATCACAGAGCAACCAGACTATGATCTTGAGACTTTTGTGAGCAGAGCTCAGCACTTTGTAGAGGAGAGCTCAAGAAACTTCCTTGGCGTCAGAGGTATGTTAGTGCTTGTCTCTGACTAGCACTGTCACTAATGTTTTTTTCAAAGACCTGAAAGTAATAGCAGCACACCTGTGGGGGTTTGGGCACCTGGACCTTCTGCATAGCTTATGGTTCAGATCACTTTCCTAGGTGATGACAGGGACAGATCTGAAATGTCCCACTGTCTGCACTTTTGGCACATAACAATTTTGGCTCATGACTTCCACTTGCTTTGCATTGCCACATAAAATCGCCTCCCCTCAAGCAGAATGTGGTAGCCACCTAGAGCAGATGAGCTGAAGTCTGTTTGGCTATCTGGTTATACAGTTTACCTTTTTGCCTTGACTGAAAACCGGTCTTTGAGAAATAGGTCACAGTGCCATGTTGTAGGGATTCATAGGGGTATGCCCACTGTTTCCACTCCTGTTTTCATGGACATCGGGCCTTAATACCCATCCACTTGGAACAAGCATCTGCCAAGCACATACTGAGATGCCATGTCTGCCAGCACCTGTGTTTGGCATGCCTTTGCCTCGGTATAGGGCATTACTGAATGTGCAATAAAATCCCTCCAGCTGCTCAGTTCTGACCCAGTTTGGAGACTTCCCAGCTCTGTGCAGGAGGATGTCAGCTGCCTGTTCCCTAGGTGCTGTCTGCCCTTGTTTGGACCATGCTGGTTGAAGCAACAGTAGAGAGGCAGCAAGGCAGATGCAGGAGCTTGGCTGACACAGGGTAACTGTGCCAGGCACACAGACTGGCTGACTAGGACAGGGGAAGCTACACTGGTAACTGCCTGCCACTGCTGCAATAACTTGGGCTTTGAGTGCTACTTGGGCCATTACAGCTGGCATAGTCTTTGCCTCACAAACAGGGCTGTGAGGATTTCTTATTTTAATAAGGCTGAAAATTGTGGTATCAAAGTGAACTGTTAACCTGAAGTAGTGACTTTTTTGTTAAACAGCCCTGGTTGTCTTCCCATTCCAAATGCAGCATCCCTCCATTCACCACACAGGGCTGGTGACAAGATAACAAGAGTAAATGCCCTGCTACCCTCTCTGCCTTATAGCTCAGGGAAATCTGGATGGTTGGATTAGTGGCAAATACAGCTGAAGAGCTTTGTGGGACAAGGCGAGATTTGATGTTGGCTGAGCAGTTCTTGCCCGGTTTGCTTCCCTCTGTCGTCCTTGCAGAGCCCTGCTGAGCTGCTGAGGGGGACAGCTGGGCTGGAGACTTCAATCTCCAGGTCAGTCACCCTGTCGCTGTCTTCCTTTTCAGAAACACTGGATGCCCTGCAGGCTGCCCTGCAACTGGAGGAGCAAGCCAGCAAGCAGATGAGCTGGCAGAGACCGTAGCAAATACAGCAAAACCTGGTTCACAAGCAGTCTTCTGTAGGTCTTGCATGTTTGTCAGTAGTTTGTGTAACTCGTGTTTTAAATGTGGTAGTGTCTGCAGGTCACGTGTGCCTGAGGGCAGTGAACGTGGCAGCCTTTCTCCATGGTCTGGTATCAGCTCCTGTCTCAGGGAGTGCTGGAAATGTCTGTTGCAAGGCCTGGGGAGGGGGGCCTGAGAGTCTGCTAGGTGTGTCTAGCATCTGGCCCTTTGCTAGTGGCAATGATCTCTTTTAACAGAACTAGATACACATGTATAGTTTCCTAGTGTACATACAACTTTTCCAGATGTGCTTGAAATGTTGCAAAATGTAGCAAATCTGGCTTTTTCTAGGAAGAAAATGGACTATATGTAATTGTAAAAAATCAGTATTTTAAGAAATTTGTTAAATAAATGTTCCTGGATTTAATTATCTTCTATCTTATAAAATATATTTTTTGCTGGTTTGGTAAAGTCTAACAGCCCCTAAAGACTGGCTGGTGTTGTAGGGAGAGGCTGATTTCTTGGATGAAGTTCTTTTTAAAGTCTTTACACTTGTAATGTTTACATAAAAGTCATTCAATAAATTTTGTCTCCTACTTTTGAGATCCTGCTGGGCAGAACTTTCCTAGCAAGGGGGAAGCTGGTTTAGAGGGTACCTACCCTGCACCAGAGCAAAGCTCAGTGCATAGTGAGTGGCTCAGCCCTTCTAACATCAGGTAAGCAGTGAGACTCCCCTGTACCACTGGAGTTTACTGAGGCTTTGAAGGTAGCCCCAGGATGCTACTTCACATTTTTTCACCTGTATTTCTCATGGCCCCATATGGGAAATGGCTAACATGCCACATAACACACACGTTCAGTAGCCCACCAAAATCTGTGTTTGAGGACGGAAGTGTGAAGCTGGCTACTGGCTCAGGCACAGCAAGGTGTGGCCTGGGTCCAGGTGGCCCCACGCAGCCATGCTCTGGGAAGGAGCAGGCGGGGGGGAGGACAGAGGGGGCCATGTTCTGCTGTCCTGTTTCCTGTTTATTCAGCTCGCTCCAGGGTTTGTCTCTGAAAGGACAAAACACCCCTGTGAGCTCCGGGTCCAGCACCACAGGATGCAGCTATACAAACATCAGATTACAAAGGGACCCTTCTACTGTTACTCCTTCCTCTAGACCCCCACCCTGGTCTCCTGCTTCCTGAGCTGCCTTCTTCCCCTGAAGTAAAGGGTGTAATGTAAGTGTCTGTGCCCCCTGTTCTGCACGCACCTTCTGTGGACTGCATCATTGCCATGTCTTTGGGGATGTCTACTATATTGGAGGCCAGTTCTTCAGCCTGGATTGGATCCATTTTTGTGTACCAGGTCTCAGGACTGTCCTGGAAAAGGCAGCAAAAGAGTTAGGATCTTAATGGGACCTGGGCAAGCAGCAGTGACAAGCAGCTGGAGAAGGGATACTTCAACCCAGACAGGGTGGGGCACTTTGTGATCAACAGTTTGGGCACTGGGAGCAGTATGGGGCTGAGTGCCCTAAGGTAGGACTGACTTGTACCTGGGCTCTGCTTGCACTGTATTAAGATGGTAAGGGCAAAAGGGCTGCTATGCTCTATGGAGTTTGGACTAAAGCAAGGCAGTCCTGTTCCATTTCAGATGTTGCTACACTTGGATTATCCAGTTTTGCCCAGTGGTGTCTTAGGGTAAGGATGGGCCTGGGTTCAAGGAACAAAATGTTACTTTCTTTTTTTTTTGTTCCACTTTCCCTCCCTGAACCCAATGTTGCTTACTGCTCTGTATATCCACCCCAGGAGCTGGACTCAGGAAGGACCTGATCTGGAGTTGCTCAGGACACCTCTTGCCTCACTGGCCCTTCAGCTCACACTTCTGACACCAAGTTTCCACTGTCACAGAAGGAGCGGGAGTGTGAGATCCCCCCTTGCTCTGTCTTGGGGCTGACTCAGAGCAATTATCTTCCTGAACACTGAGATGGAAGGTGAACCCTTCTCAAAGGGTGGCTTGGTTTATTTCTGGGCTCTCATGCAAGACTGGCTTTCTAGTGAAAAGAAATCCAGTCTCTACATCCCTGTAAAACAGCCCAAGGTCCTAGGGCTGCTAATAAGCCCCGTAAGGGAGGCAGGTTTACCATAAAGCGCTGGAACAGTGTGTGTCCTAGTGCCTTCTTTACGCACTCCTCCACCAAGGGAAATGTGTGGACAAAATACTGCAACAGAACAGAGAGTTGGTGTGTAGGTAGTAGGGATGTGTGTGTATAAAGAGTAGAGCTGCACAGGAGATGTGGTTCCAGGTAACCTGTCACATGCCAGTGAGTCCCTGACCCACCTCGGTGCTACTGCTGGCACTTCATGAACACACAAAGAGGAGTTTGTGGGTCCCTGCTAAAGCCTTGCCTTCTTCCCCCTGCCCTCCTCCACTGCCAGTTCCTACCTTTGCTGGCAAGAGGACAGAGGGTGTTTTGGTGAAATGATTGCAGTGCAGTAGTTGCCAGGGAATTCACCCTGCTCTGCTGTCGGTGCCTGCTCAGAGGAAAGGTGCACTGACCCTCTGTGTTACCAGGTAGGTTTGTAAACCCCTTTTCACCCCAAGCAGCCTGGTTCTCCACCATCGCTTGTTCAGCCCTGCCCATCTACTGACAGCATGGTCCTTCCTTGTGGCTGTTACACAGGCCGAGCTATGCTGTGGCAGGCCAAAACTCTTCACCCAGGACCAGCAGGGAAAAAATAGCCTGCTTATAATCCTGTGCTAGTGCCTTGCTCCAGGCAAACTGTGTTGGTTAGCCCCTTAGCTCTGGCTGTGCTTGCTACCCACAGCAAGCCTGGGGGTAGAACAGAGGTGTGAGGGCCAACATTGAACAGCATGGGTTCATGAAAGGCAGGTCCTGCTTGACCAACATGATCTCCTTCTATGACCAAGTGACCCGCCTAGTGGATGAGGGAAAGGCTGTGGATGTTGTCTATCTGGATTTTAGTAAAGCCTTTGACACTGTTCCCCATAGCATCCTCCTGGAGAAACTGGCTGCCCATGGTTTGGATGGGCGTAATCTCCGCTGGATAAAGAACTGGCTGAATGGCCAAGTGCAGAGAGTGGTGGTGAATGGAGCTAAATCCAGCTGGCAGCCAGTCACAAGTGGTGCTCCCCAGGGCTCAGTTTTGGATCCGGTCTTGTTTAACATCTTTATCAATGATCTGGATGAGGGGATTGAGTGGTCCCTCAGTAAATTTGCAGATGACACCAAGTTGGGTGGGAGTGTTGATCTGCTCAAGAGTAGGAAGGCTCTGCAGAGGGATCTGGACAGACCGGACTGATGGGTCAAGGCCAGCTGTATGAGTTTCAACAAGGCCAAAGGCTGGGTCCTGCACTTTGGTCACAACAACCCCATGCAATGTTACAGGCTTAGGGAAGTGTGGCTCGAAAGCTGCCTGGCGGAAAAGAACCTGGGGTTGCTGGTTGACAGCCGGCTGAACATGAGCCAGCAGTGTGCCCAGGTGGCCAAGAAGGCCAACGGCATCCTGGCTTGAATCAGGAATGGTGTGGCCAGCAGGAGCAGGGAGGTGACCGTGCCCCTGTACTCGGCACTGGTGAGGCCGCACCTCGAGTGCTGTGTTCAGTTTTAGGCCCCTCACTACCAGAGGACACTGAGGTGCTGGAGCGTGTCCAGAGACGGGCAGCGAGGCTGATGAGGGGTCTGGAGAACAAGTCTTATGAGGAGCGGCTGAGGGAACTGGGGTTGTTTAGTCTGGAGAAGAGGAGGCTGAAGGGGGACCTTATTGCTCCCTGTAACTCCCTGAAAGGAGGTTGTAGTGAGGCAGGTGTTGGTCTCTTCTCCCAGATAACTAGCAATAGGATGAGAGGCAATGGCTTCAAGTTGCATCAGGGGAGGTTTAGATTAGATATTAGGAAAAATTTCTTTACTGAGAGAGTGGTCAGGCATTGGAACAGGGTGCCCAGGGATGTGGTGGAGTCTCCATCCCTGGAGATGTTCAAAAAACATGTAGATATGGCACTTTGGGATATGGTTTAGTAGGCATGGTGGTATTGGGTGGATGGTTAGACTTGATGATATTAGAGGTCTTTTCCAACCTATGATTCTATGATTGGCTTCCCAGCACCCTGTGAGTGATGAGTGGCGAGTGGCAGGAGGGAGGCAGACAGGAGGGGAAATATGGCTCTTTCCTGAAGGGAGCATTGCTTCTGCCTTTGTGACTAAGCCTGTGTCTGCTATGCTTAGGAAAAAAACCCCTCAGCATCGGGAGCCTTTCTGCTCAGGTGCTCTGTGAGCAGACCCCATGCTATGATAACCGCCACCATGTACCACCATGCTCACCTCCAGGGAGATGCTGGCATGCCTCTGGCTGGCCACATGGTCCAGGTTCCCCATAGCAACCACCAGGCCGTGTACCACCTTCAGCTGGATCAGCTCTTCAGCCACTTCTGCTGACTCCTTGGCTAATATGCTGCAACGAGACAGGCCGTAGACCCCTACCCGGTATGGGGGAAGAAGTGCACAACAAATTGAGTCTGGGCCTCTTGGTGTGACCCCAATGGAAAATGATGTGTCCCTACCCTGCACTAGCAGCACCAACAGACAGGAGAGTGCCAAAATAAACAACAAACGTTTGGCTGTGCATGGATTAGCAATCACTTAACACGTGGGCTTGCTGCGAACCAATTGCTTAATGATTAGCAGGAGCTTCCTGGTGTGTATTAAAGTCTAGCAAGTTTCTTGTGTGACCACAAAGAACCCAGGACTCACACATCACCAACACTACTTCTGTGAGCGTGTCCCTGGAAGACACTCCAGTATGTGTCCCTACCTACCAAGGGCTTTCTGTCATCTGCTTTTGCAGGAAAAATGTTCTGATAGCACTATCTTGTGGACACTGCTGGAAATTCATACTGAATGAACCAATACTGGCACAAATGCCTGAATTTCCTTTATAGGATTCTGCGGTCAATCGTAGGCACTAGATGCTTCTTCCATCGGGTGGCTGATGCTAAACAAGGGTGTTTCACTGCTCCCTGTGGCTCGTGGTTATGTGAACACAGTGGCCATGAGCAATACAGCACCCTTTATCCCAGTGCTGGGGCAGGACAGATGCATCGCTTCCAGCTCCGCACAAATGCCTGAATTTCCTTTATAGGATTCTGCGGTCAATCGTAGGCACTAGATGCTTCTTCCATCGGGTGGCTGATGCTAAACAAGGGTGTTTCACTGCTCCCTGTGGCTCGTGGTTATGTGAACACAGTGGCCATGAGCAATACAGCACCCTTTATCCCAGTGCTGGGGCAGGACAGATGCATCGCTTCCAGCTCCAGCCATCAAAGGGACAGATGGGATTCCACCTCTCCCTATCAATAAAAACTTGAAGCCAGCTCCAGCGTCAGAG